CATCATCATCATCATCGCCATCACAAGCCAAAGCTTCAACATCAGCTTCGAGCTCTTTGGCACTTTTTATCTCTTCAGCAAGATCGAAACCTCGAGCGTGTATCTCCTCGAGGGTCTCCCTCCGAGATCGACACTTAGCAAGTTCGGCAACCCAATGTGCTCGAGTGTCGGTAGTATCCACTGCCTCTCTTGCCTCCATTTGAGCAGCCTCGGCATCGACTCGATACACAGCAATAGACTTGTCCGTCATGACTTTCGAAGACTCAATCTCTGCCTTGGCCTCAGCAAGCCTTGTTTCAAGCTCCTCGATCCTCTTGGCCTGAGCCGAACCTTTTTGCTTGACACTTCGAAGCTGAACATCAGCCGATGATAATTTGGCCAAGATAGTTTCTTTTTCTGCAGCCAGGCGGTCGATAGTCTCCTTCCACCGATCACATTCACCCTTGATTTGATCGACTTCTTCTCGAAGCAACCCGATCTTTTCAACCTTTTGCTGCAGCTGAGATAACGAAGGGTTAGCTTCCACAGTTGGATCAAACCCATACTCTAACAGAACGAGGCTCACCTGCTTATCTAGTTCGGCCTCTTCTTCACGAGCCTTAGCCAAATCTGCTTGGAGGTCCCTTATAACCTCATCCTTTTGGCCGCAAAGAAGCCGCAAAGCATCTCTCTCCCCCGAGATCTTCTGAAGCTTGACCTCACACTGGCTGAGGTCGCCTCAAAACTTGCTAATAGCCTATATAGAAGGGAAAAAACACAAGTCAGGTTTAGAAANAGCCGCAAAGAAGCCGCAGAGCATCTCTCTCCCCCAAGACCTTCTGAAGCTCGACTTCACAATGGCTGAGGTCGGCTCGAAACTTGCTAATGGCCTACATAGAAGGGAAAAAACACAAGTCAGGTTTAGAAAAGAACGAAGAAACCAAGCGCAGTAAAATCATTACCCGAGAAATGAAACGTTGGGCCTCTTCTAGGAGAAGAGAATCGTCACTAATATCGGAAGCATCACCGACTCCCGTAAAGCAATCCCTAAAAGGATCCCCTACACTAGAGCCTCCGCCCATATTGGTGGTCTTCAATTCTTGAGCTTCCTTTAACGCCTCCTCAGAAAAGGTCGGAAGACAAGGAAAATGAATCACTATCATGGTCCCGAGCGAATCGCTCGGGACGCTCTGATCGAGACTCGGGGTATGGAACCAGCCCCAACCGGTGTAGCCGTCATCGGCTCAGAAGGTTTGGCGACCTCGATAGATTTCGCGGATCGGACCACCAAAGCCAAAGCATCTTCTTCTTCTTCTTCTTCTTCTTCTTCTTCTTCTTCTTCTTCTTCTTCTTCTTCTTCTTCTTCTTCTTCTTCTTCTTCTTCTTTCAGTCGTTGGACTGAGTCCGTCGAAAGAGCGATTGCCTTCCTCCTCACCCTTCGAGTTTTGGGCTTGAGGTCCTCTGACCGAGAGACAGCTTTTCGCTTTTTATCTTTCCCCGATTTCGGGACCGGGGACTTGGTTCCTTCCTCACCACTCGAAGGCCTCAAAATAACATCCTTGGTTACGCCTGTATGAAAGGAAATCAGTAACGAATGGAGCATAAAGAACATTTCAAAAACATGAGAAGTGACCCTTACCGTGATTCTTGGCCTCCCATATACCTTTCGCCAAATCACGCCAAGCGCGCTCGGCATAAGAGGAAGTCGAGGCTAACTTCCGAACCCAATCCTCGAGGTCGGGTACTGCTTGTGGCATCCAAGGGGCAGCTGTATATCGGAGAGAGATATCAGATAGAATCAGAGAAAGATACGAAAAGCAACACCTTATGAAAATCACTTACGGTCGAAATTCCATTCCTCTGGGAACAGCATTTTCTCTTCCGGGATAAGGTCACGGGTCCTCACCCGAATATGACGGCCCATCCAACCCCGATCCTTGTCTTTGTCGATGCTCCACATTAAAGCTTTCGTTGCCCGACGATGGAGCCTGATTAGTCCTCGAAAGATTTGAGGTCGATACAATCGTATGAGGTGATTTAGGGTAAAATCCAGCCCCCCGGCCTTGTTGGAGAAGAAGCGAAGTAAGATTACTATGCGCCATAAAGAAGGATGAATTCAACCGAAGGTGACCTAATATCTTTTGCAAAAATCAATGATCACTGGGTCGACGGGACCCAACGTGAAGGGGTAAGTATAAACACTTAAAAACCCCTCCACATGAGTGATGATGCTCTCTTCGGGAGAGGAAATTTGCAACACAACCTCGGGACCCCAGTTGCAGTCTTTCCTCACAACCTCGAGATGGCCCTCTGCTATCGAGCACATGTACATCGACACATGCTCACATCGACCCGGAACCAACGAAGGATTTTCAACCTTAAAATCAATCTTTAGAGTACACGGGCCATGAACATACTCGTGGGGAGGCGGCTCCACCGGCGCCTTGTCGCCGGACGGCCGTGAAAAGGAAGCTTTCTCTTTCTGAGGTACGGTTTTTGAAGTTTTTGCCATTGATATAAGAAAAAGAAAAGCAAAGGAAGATGAAAGGTTGATGGTACCAAACGCTGGCGAAGGTGGCTATACAAGCGGCGAAAAAGAGGCAGAAAGAGTAAGAAAATTTGGGAGATTGAAGATGTAAAAGTGGTAAATGATAAATGGAAGGATTATTTATAGGTTTATACCGTGGCGGTTCAGTATCAGCGGTGGCTGACCACCGTCTGACATGCGTTAAATACCTTGAAAGACTAAATCGATGGGACAGCTATCACGTACATCATGATCAAGCCCAGTGAAAACATCAGCTTATAATCTGATCGAGCTGTTGAAAATCATATCGCTTCTCACCACATTCTTCCTGAGAAACGAGGGGACTATTTGTATACGGTCAAAATTGATTTCGGCCTTCGTACATTTGATCGAGTTCGAATGGTAAGCGACTGAAGTAAGACTTCGAGATGAGTTCCGAAGCTAGTACAAACAAGCTTCGAGCTCCAAGACCGATTGAGGAATCGGCTCGGTATCATTATCGAGCCCATGACCAAATCGAACCGCAAGGCAACGTAAAAGTTGTCAGAGACGCACAGACCGATTGATACTCACCCCGAATATCAAACTCGAACCAAGGCCGAGGGCTCGACCCAATACCGAACTCGATCTAGTATCGAGCTCGCAGACAAAAGCCGTTGTAACCGCACTAGGGGAGAGAACCTTGGCAGGAATCGAGGAAGAGACACTTCATCATGGGTTCTCAACTATATATTTTTTATTATAAATAAAGTAAGATCCCTCTACTATAAAAGGGGAATCCTTGTAAGCAGAGGAGGTCCACACATTGTAACAAAAGACTACTTCTCTATTTGAAGGATAAATCTTTTGATCTTGTTTTACTCAGCATACTCACTCTTCTTGTTCAATAATTTATATCTCATTTTTATAGCCAAGAATCATCACATTTCCACTTCTACGTATGGTTTATGTCAAGTTATATCATATATCCTTAGAACTACTTATAAATTTAACTATATCCGACTTTTCGGGTAAACAAATCTATTTATATATTTATGATAAGTTGGTCTCAAAAGATGTGATGAAACGCCTCTCTAAAGCCTCATCATTAGTCCTCTTGATTAAACATTTTCAATTTGAAAATTACGTATTTACAACTTTATATTTCAAAAGTTAAGTTTGGTTTTTTGCATGGAAAGATTAACTTTATTTTAACATAAAACGAGTGGATTCGTTATAAAAAAAATTATAAATACACGTGCAACGTACGTGTAGAGAGACTAGTTATCATAAACATACAAGTCCAACCAGAGGGATACGCGCCTTGTACCATGCGGTCTCACGGAACGTTTCGTCAAAATTTTTCACTAGATATTTTTAAGATAAATGAAAATAATTGGGATAAATATAAAAAAAGATACAGCTTGTCAATATAGTGATTTATTAATTGGTCAATTTCTTTAAATTGTGACATTGCTTATGAAAGATAATGCGTACGCCACTAAGTTCAACCATCCATTCGTGCAATTAAAAAATTCTCTTCATCTTAATTTCCATTCGTGCATTGTACATCCTCCACCAGAAACCTCTGAGTAGGGGTGGGCATATATCGGGTATAATCGATAGTCTGAATCGATAAAATGCTATTGGGTTATCGATATCGGGTTATTGGGTTAATAGTTCGATAATGGCTTAATGTTATTTGACTATTGGGTTATCGATTCGGGTCTCGATTTGCCTAATTTTATTAACGATTTAACCGATAGCCCAGTAAGCTTTAACAAAATTATAATTTTACCCACTAAATATATAAAGCTACCTTATGGCTTCATTCTCTCATTTTCTCAATTCTCTCGGCAGTTACTCTTTATCTTCAGACCTTAATCCTTAAAGTATGTTTTAAACTTTTCTCGATTTCTCATCTTAATTCTTCAGTTAAGATTTTTATTTTTAAATTTTAAAGAATTAATTATTCAGATTTATAGTTTTTCTATTTGTTTCTTTTGTTGCACTAATTCTTTAGTATTTACAAGATTAAGATTTTATTATTTTTCTATGAATTATGCCCGCCCGTGATGAGATAGTTAGTAAGATTAGATTGTTGAATATCTTATTTCTTACTCCTATTAACTTATAACTTTAAAAATTGAGGGATTTTCAAATGAAAAGAAAGTTTTTTTTTTCTAAAGTTGAAATTTAATCCCTTTTTTCTTAAGAGCAAAAATTCAGTTCTTTTCTCTTAACAGTATGATCACGATTTCTATAATAAAAACACAAAATTTTTGGATATTTTTTATTCTTATCGGGTAAACCGATAACCGAACCGATAAGGATCAATAACCGATTAACCGATACCCGATAACCGATATCTTATCGGTTCGGCTATCGGTTTAGCATATTTATAAAACGATATACCGAACCGATAACATTCACAATTGAACCGAACCGACCGATGCCCACCCAACCTTCGAGACTTATTTATTTCTAACTAAAAAGAAATGTTTGGTGCAAGATAAAAGTACGTTTGGCATTAATAAAAACGTGTTGTATAAGGGTCCACCTCATTTTACCTTTGGATGGCAGGGAACATTAGAAGAACAAGCCACTCGTACACACTTAATTTTTAATCATACGACCTTCCATTATATGCCTTAAGCACCACATCTAATCTACACTTAACCATTTACTATTATTGAACACGAAGTTCTTGAGCCGACGCGCCATTCGTGTGCCGATTTGAATATTGGCTAACTCTCCCAACGTCAATGAAGCCACATGGTAAGCATCTTAATTGCTATATATCCGGTAGCAATGGCACAATGCTTGGGCAGCCAGGAAGGAGTAGCTGACCTGTAACTGAAGCCCCATATGAAAGCAAAGTCACATTATTTTTTCAATTCCACGACAGTTAAGGCTAAAGAAATGACAGATTAGAGCCTTTGTTAGCCAAATGAATATCAGCTCACCAAATTCAAAGGCATATCCACATGGCCACATTATAATCACATGCTCAGCGTCCCACTTTTGTGCCTACTACCTATATAAATATCCTTGATTGATCATGTTCATTGCTCATCAGGAAATTTAGTCTCTTCTCACAAAGAAAAAAGTAAGACACAAAGAGCCATGGCTACTCTTTCTTTTTCAAAAGCCAAGCCCTTTCGATCAATCAGTTTGCCTGTCAGATCACACCCTACCACTCAAAGAGTTGAAGAGGCGCTCAATAAGCTCAATGGGTTGGAGACATCAGTTGCACCAACAGCGGAAACAATCTTTAACAGCTTGCTCGGTTTGGAAGAGTTACAAAAGTGCATGGATGATCTTCTTAACTCGCCTCAAACTCTTCAGATACTCTCCCAACACCAACATGGGATATGGTTTGAGGAGTTACTGGAAAAATCAGTAAGGATTCTTGATGTTTGCGGCAATACAAGGGAAATTGTCTCTCAATATAAGGAAAATGTAAGAGCTCTTCAATCCTCACTCAGAAGACGAAAAAGAGATTCCAGTGCAGAAGCTGGAATCGCAAGATTCACCACTTTCAGCAAGAAAATGAAGAAGGACGCCAAAAGATTAGTCTTGGCTCTGAAGCAAGTAGATTGTGAAACTTTCACCTCAGCATTCCTGGAAGCAGATCAGGAGACAATAGCTGTGATTAGAGCACTAAAGGAAGCTAATGCAGTTTGTATTTTGGTTATCCAAAATATCTTGTCCCTCTTGTCTGTGCCAATTTTGAAGCCGAAGCAGCCAAAATGGTCATTGGTTTCAAAATTGATAAACAGCGCAAGAATAGAACACGAAGGCCTAGAAAACAACACGAACTTGGAAACAAGATTGGAGACTGTGGAGGCTCAACTTGACAGCATCGAAAAGGGATTGGAAGGAACATTTAGGAGCCTGATTAGATCAAGAAGCTTGCTCCTGAATGTTTTCTCCTGCTAAATGTTCCTACTCCATTAACTGTATAGTTCACCATAATTCTGTACATGAACAATTTTGTACCTATGCTAGAAATATATTATACACAAATTTATCATTATACTCCAAATTTCGTGTATCTTTCTCTCTATTAATGAGCAACTCGTGCACAGCTATGTAAAAATGAAAATTTTCTTTACGCGTCTTAAACTTCATCTGCTGTATCTTTGAAAACAATCAGTGTCAGAAAGATGTAGTAAGTTTCCTATTAGCTGTGGGCCTGAGGTGCAATTTTGGAATCTGTTTCAATCTATTAATGAACATCAGCTCCTGAAAACGAAACATCAATTAAGCAAAGCCACATAATTCATTCAATTATTGCTACCCTTCACAAGAATCATTGGAGGCATCATACTCATCTTTCCACCAATGCCTAGAGTACAAATGACCTTACTTGGGGCTTTACTGTTCATCACAAAATTTATCATATTTCTCCCAACCAAGAAAAACACCAAAAACCATGGTCACTTTTTCAAAATCTAACCACATTCGCTCAAATCAGTTCAGTTTTACCTCCAAAAAGGAGTTCGGTTTTCCCTCTAGATCAAAACTAGTCCTAGTAACTGTAGCACCTTGAAGTTGGCAGAAACCTTCTGCTTATCAAAATGAATCTTAGATGTGCATGAACATTTTAAGTTTAAACAAACAAGATATGTAATATGAATTTCTTGTCACCAAATTGGAACTCTATCCATCTATCTTTGATAGAGAACTGCTACAAAATGCTGAGTGTATTTGTCTCTGTTTTCTTCACAAGCTGCATTTGACTTGTTAAAAATCTGTTAGGCATGAAACTCAATAAAGGCATAATATAAATTTGAAGAATCAACTAGAAAAAAAAGAAGAAAAAGAATCAACTAGAAATATTTGACATTCAATTTGCTTTGGGGAATGAATTCTGCTCCTAGAATTCTTCTTAATAGTCTCTTTTTGAAATGTTTAATGAGTAATAATCTAGGCCAAGAAATGTTAAGAACTGAAAGCTTTATGATATTACAGGTGTGCACTGATATGATTCAGGGACACAATTTGTTCCACTGTTGTTTCCTTAACATTGCATGAAAATACAGTAACACCTGTAATGCTTCCTTATAAAAATAAATAAAGTTGTAATGCAGCTTAACTAGTGAAAGTATCATGCACAAGGTGATGAACTTCTTTCAAGAGCAGATTTCTTTCCAACTTATACCTCCACAGCTGGCTCACAAAACAGAATTCCTTTCTGTGCTATCAGGCATCAATGAAGGAGTTAATTACCTAGAAGCAGCGGCGGACCTATGCTATACAAATAGGGGTCACCAGCACCCGTAAAATTCGGCAAAAACTCCATGTATGCATGTATATATCTTTAGAAAATAGTGATATATTAGTAGTGGTTACCCTATATGCAAAACATTTTTTGGTTGAATCCAACATTGCACCCACAAGCTTCAAATCCTGGGTCCGCCTCCTGTCCTTATCTTAACACGTTCTAATCGATTAGATAATACAACTCACAGTCTGCTCTTCTTTGGTTCATTTATCCAACTACTTGTGGAAATCACTTTGTTCTCAAAATTATAAGAAGCATTACACCTAACCAAAAGATATGCTTCCAACCCCTTGCCAACCAAATCCAAAAGAAAAACTTCCATATGTGTACAATTACATAAAATAAACTTCAGTCGTGCAATATGAATTTTATATTTGATCTACTAGCCCTTTTTAAAAGTCTTGACACCTTAAAATACTCTCACTACTCTTTAACCATTTATATCTCAATTATCTAAATATTGTGTGTTCTAGTAGTTGACATATTGAAGCTATTATGGAGGAGACAACTTTACCAGGCCACCTGTTTTACAAGACAAAAACTAACTAAACAACTGAACAAATTAAGTAGGCTTCTTGAAGTTGATGCATCTTCAATTAAATAGTAAGAATAAATTAATTGTGTTATAGTATTGGCACCATATATGGAGACAGAAAAAGGCAAATTATTCAAAGACCCACATGATAATGAGATGCCTCATATTTATCCCATAACTAAGAGAACTAATGAAAGTAATCAGCAGAACCTTTAGTTGGCCAAATGTGTAGCAGTTTTACAAGTTCCAAAAAGATCCAGCAGAGCAATCACATGCTGATTTAATTAGGCCATTGCTTATCTGGTCTCCTCCTATGGTGTACTGCCTATAAATACCAACTCTCAAGCTTCAATTCCATCACAACTTTGAGAAATTCCCTCATCAGAAAGAAAACCATAAAAAATGGCCGCTCTATCTTCAAAACCCAATCATGTTCGATCAATCAGTTTGCCTGGGAGATCACACCCTATTACCCAGAGAGTTGAAGAGGAGATAAACAAGCTCAAATCATTATCAGTTGCACCAACAGCAGACACTGTGTACAGTGGTCTATTCGGATTGGAGAAATTATACAAGTGCATAGATGATCTTTTCAACTTGCCACAAACCCTTTGCCAAAGTCTAGATGCTAAATGCATTGAGGATTTATTAGACAAAACCGTGAGGCTTCTTGATGTTTGTGGCACTATAAAGGAACTTGTCTCACAATATAAATAAAATGCAAGACATCTTCAATCATCTCTCAGAAGGAGAAAAGGAGATTCAACTACAGATGACAGCGTTGCCAGATTTACCTCTTTCAGCAAGAAGATCAAGAGGGATGCCAAAAGATTAGCCTTGAATTTGAAGCAAATGGATCAAGAGACTGCAGTATCAGTCTTGTTTGATGCAGATCAAGATACAATAGCTGCGATTAGAGCACTAAGAGAAGCTAATGCAGTGTGCATTTCAACTTTCCAAATGCTATTGTCCTTCCTGTGTGTGCCCCTTTTGAAGCCAAAACAATCAACATGGTCATTGCTTTCAAGATTGGTACAAGAAGACAGAATAGCACCTGAAGTCCAAGAAGAAAACGCGAGCTTAGAAACCAGGCTGGAAACCTTCGGGGCGTACCTTGACAGCATTGAAAAGGCACTGGAAGCTACATTTAGGTGCTTGATTAGATCTAGAAGCTCGCTCCTCAATGTTCTTTCTTGTTAATCTGGCAGTTGTTGTTCCATACTCTGTAAATTGTATATAAACAGTTTTGTAGTTAGAAATATATAAATTTCAAGTGAAAGATTATACATCATTTATTGCCTCTATCTCTATCTCTCTCTGATCAAAATTTAAAAGGTTATGCCTGTGAGTTTCAGCGCAAAGAAAGCACTTAGCAGTATTTCTCCATACCTGATATCAGGTTTAGGTTTGTGTCTCAAATATCTCGATATCCATTGAAATGGTCCTCTTTAGACTAGATGGGGAAACAGATAAAACGCATAGCATATTCATTACATACTTTCTCTGCATAATTGGCTTCAAAGATCAAACTAATGAAGGGCAATAATCTGGACGAAAAGTTACTTCCTTATGCTCCTTATCCACCATATTTTTAGCGTCACTGATAAATAAGAAATATAGCTTATGATCTGCTTATCTTACTTCATAGTCCAACTAGATATGGAGACGACTGTAACTATGACAATCTTGATTTCATCAGTCTTCCTTCTGAGATAATTGGAAGCAGTAGATCTAATCAGAAGGCTTATCCTATGTCCTTTTTCTTCTAGATCCTTAGCCAAATTCAACAATGAAAACAAAATGAAGATCTAGCACAAGGATCTGGCACCAGATCAGCGGGCAAAGCAGCCAACCTACCATTCTTTCGAACATATAAATGGAGCAATTAACAATGCCACTTTGTTCGACTCAATATCAGTTTAGTATGAACGACTAAAGTGGCATTGCTCAGCAAGCTTAATTGCATTGCTCCCGAAAGATCCTCTAGCAGTCCCTGAAAACAACAATATGTACGCTCCCCAAAAATAGATTTGAAGTGTGGATAGAACTCTTTTGAGGCTCAGCTGACAACTTCGAATATAGTTTGGAAGGAACATAGGTGCCTGATTACATTGCAGAGTTCTCTCCTAAAGATCTTCTCATGCTAATCGGGAAACTTCTATTGCACTGATCTGAAGTTGGCTAGACATTTTTCACATATATAATGTCATGGGCACGGCGTCCCTGAGTAGCTTCTAAATGTGTAGTGCCATGGACAGGCCCACTAGACTTGCTTAGCCAACTAAGTGTGCCCCTGACTTTGTCAGAGATTTTCAATCCTCTATCAGAAGGAGAAAACAAGATCACTTAAGTACAGAAACCAGCTTTACCAGATCACCTCCTTCAGCAAGAAGATTGAGGGGCCAAAAGTTATTCCTGGTCTTAACTCTTAAAAATGGATGAATATATTGAGGAATCAGAATTCCAAGATTCAGATATTGACACTACATATATGATTAGAGTACTAAGGGAAGCCAACTTAGTATGCATTTCAATTTTGCAAATGCTCTTGCTATTTCTTATCTGTCCAAGTTTTAAAGTCAAACTCGTCTAAATGGCACTGGTTTTGAGATTGGTGCATAAGGGAAGAAAAGAATGTGAAAGTCGAGCAGATAGCATTAACTTTGAAACTAGGCTGGAATCCTTCGATGGTCACCTTGAGAGTTTTAATGATGGATTAGAAGGAGCATTTAGGTGCCTGATTGGATTGAGGAGCTCTCTCCTGAATATATTCTCTCCTTGTGGCTCAATATGCATTCTCATGCATCCCTTCCCATGCGTACTTAAAAATAAGATATCTCGGAAAGAATGTGAAACTCATGGATTGTACCTTATAAAAGTTTGCTAGTAAAAAATGTATAGGAAAACAACTATGAAGTCAATAATTTAGTGAACATTAAACAAGCACAGCATAACCAGCCATACACGGATGCACAAAATTAAATATTTTTATTTCCAATACACTCATGTATCAATTATTGATTTAATTAAAAATTGCTCTTTGAGTGAAGCATCCTGAAGAAGCCACCTACCACTGGACTAATTAAAAGAATGAACATCATAGCCATATCTTGGGCATCTTTAACCAAGTCAAGAAGAAGGAGTTCTTAGCTGTAATCTTCCGGATGGAACCAAGGAAAATAGCAGGATATGAATGTACCGACATATATTAATTAGTTTTGCCCACCATTTATTGGAAGCATTACATCTAGTCCAGGAGCTTATACAGATATGCTTCCAACCCCTTGCCAACCAAATCCAAAAGAAAAAATCCCATACATGTACAACTCCATAAGATAAACTTCAGTCGTGCATTTTGAATTTTATAGTCGATCTAATAGCCCCTCTGAGATCTTGACACCTTAAAATATTCCCATTATTCTGTCATTATTTACATTTCA